GCCGGGACGGAGCACGCCGGGTTCTCACCGGACCAGGCTCTCACATCACCAAGCGCGAAGCGCCGTGAGATATTCGGCGAGTCGCATGAAGGGTGCGCTGCATCCTGCCAAGGGTGTTCGGCATCTTGTGCTTACTTCCTTGCGTACGGATGACAGCTGCGTATGAATTAATTTATTTTCTGGTGCTTACACTTCCAGAGACAGTTGTAAGCACTGTGTAACTGCCTCGAGGGTGCTAAACACCGGGGGGGGCGGCTTGTTTTACAACGTCGTTGCCAAGCGAAGGGGGGGGGGGAGACAACGGCAGGACGGTGGTGTTGGGGTTCTCGGCGCCGATGCGACGGGTCAAGGTGGCAGGCAGTGGCACAAAGTCGCGGGTCTACTCTCACAACATTTTCGTGCTGGCTGAGCAGAGATGCTGTGAACGACGTCGTCAGTCAGTTTCACCGTTAGGACAACATACATCACCATCGAGCAAACGAGGCACGCGCGAAAAAAGAAGTAAAAAAACTGATTGTGCTATTCTGGGGAGCATTGCGACAGGTTGCAGCAAAAACATTTTTCTGTCGGATAGCAGGGAGGGGTGCCGATAGTGGTGGTGCAGGGGGAGGGGCTTACTCATGTTTTGCATGCCTTAGCGGCTAGAGCATTGACCACGAATGCTCGAGAGTACGGAGCATTGTTCCCACAGGCCTCGATTTATCCCTTGTTGTAGAGCAGGAAGTAATATTTTCATGTGGGGACGAAGTCGACAGCTGTGACGGCGTTGTCTACAAGTACGCACCCGGAGCCATACTCCCGGCTTCTTTTCTTGAACCACCCTCCCGAGCCACAGGGCGGCGACGTCATCGGGGCCTAGCCCTAGCTGCCGCCGGAGGTCTTGGCAGCGCCTAGCGGGGGAGAAGAGGTCGGGGTCGACGCCCCGCCCCCACACGCCCAGCTCTGTGTCCCACCCTTCCGCCTGGACCTTTCGCCGCATGAACTCCGTCTAAGTCGAGTCGACAGCAGTGTCCACAGAGCGTGACAAGCAAACGAAACAACATTGGACGATGAAGGGAGAGTAGAACAAGAAGCGGCACTGACTGGTTAGCTTGTACGTTGCGGAAGTAGCAGGACATGAACATATATACAAGCAGATAAACAGACCTACCCTTTGAGAACACGATACGGTCACACTACTACTGTCAGTGTTGTTTGTTTTTGAAAGCTTCACTGACCCACAACAACTTCAACATCGTCAGCACCAAAGAACAGACGAAAACCAGCAGCGATCAACTGTGTATTTACGTGTTATTCCTCACCGGCGCGTAGACTGCAGGGCATAGCCCGTACACGTGGCGCAGGAACGATGACAGCGCCCACAGCGCCTGCGCTCGGCTGCACTCCCAAACACAGACAGACACGCACACCAGGCGGGCGGGCGGGCGGGCGGGCGGGCGAGGCGAGTGTGGCGGTCACGGATTCAGGGTTTATGCTTATAGTTAGGCGGAACCACCCCGACGGCCTGTGAATGCGAAGACACAACACACCCTCCGCCGTCGACACAAACGCGCACGCATTCCGTTCGGTTCCGTCCTGAGGAGAAAGACGCGTATCCTTCGTCGATCCCATTCTCTTCCTGGAATTGGGTATATATGTACGTACACGGACCAGCAGAGAGGCGGGGTAGAAAAGGCCAACGAAACGTACTCTCGAGGCGTCGGCGTTCCACCCATCCAGATCGACAACTTGAACGTTCGTTTCTTCAGCAGACTCACCCTAGTATGCAGTAGGAGTTGACGATCTCCATGAAGTCCGTATGGAGCGTGGCCATTACGCCGCAGTCCTCCCTCTCCCGGAGGACCCAATTGATGAGCTGGTTGTGGAAAACGTTACGATCACGCAGAGGTAGTTTGTTTTTCAGCGCGCGGGGGATGAGCCTGATCATTGTAGTATGTTGTTGCCTACATAGTATCGAAAGATAATTGTGGGAACGCAGGGAAGTAATTGTTCTATTGTACGTCGCCCAAACACGTGGGGCACTGGCTACACAACAAACTTATGACATAATTGTCGTCGCCGTGAACAACGATCAGGATTGTGGGCGCCATACGTTAGCTTTGCCATGCGTGCCGCGTTTGCGTGTCTGTGGTGGAGGGGGTGGCGGGCGGGGGCGCAGGACTTCTCGAACAACGGAGAGGAACAGCCAGAGGCAAAGATCCGCACGACGTACGTGTCGCTTTTGGAGGCCGTTTCTACTCCAAACACAAATAGTCCCAGTCCGGTGCACATAATTCGTGTGAAGGAATATTTTATTTGTTCGCCCCCTCCCACCGCACTCAGGCCTACAGGAATAATTTACATCGATAATGGGTTGCGCTGGCGTTTTCGTTCTTGCCGATGACGAAAGAGAGCTCGCAAAGCGTGCGGACGGCGACGAGCATTTATTTTTTACCACGCACACGCACGTGGAGGGCGAAAAGATTAAAAACAATTGTGGTCCGTACATCGTTTTACGTACGTTCTCGAATTTTGTTCAAACGACGATTGATTGTGAAGCACCGAATTTGACACGTGCAAGTAGATCTGGTGTGCTCTACCCCGCTGCATGCACCGACCGACTGTCTTATCTCCCCTTCTGCCTCATCACCATGCTTTACTTCGTCGGCACTCACTGACAAAGATCTGAAAAGAACAATTAGATCTTGTCCATTTCCACACACAAAATGCGACAGCAATCCCGAAGATATATCGATGTCGAAGCAATAGTCTCCAGGCGAAGATTACATGCATATCCTACTCTCGCCAACTCACCCACAGAGCCACCAGATCAGGGTTCGTGACGTGCACGGCGGTGGGGCGGAAAGCCTCCAGCGCCCTCTTGGTGGATTCGGGCACCCGAAGCCCCAGCGAGTAGTCGGCTCCAGGGGCGGGCACAGGCCCACCGCCCACGCGGAGGACGCGCACCAGCCCGCCGCCGACGTTGGCGCTCCTGGTGAAGTCGGATATGGCGACGTCTGACGGGTTGTCTGCGGTGAGGACGAGCACGTCTGCCCCGTGCTCTTTGGTGATGTGCGAGATCAAGCCCCTCAGAGTTAGGGTCACGCCGTCGATCTTGAAGAAGGACCCGCTGTAGAACACAACGCGCTGCTGGTGGTGGTCTGACGCCACTGCCATGATGATGTGTGGTGAGAGTTACTTGCTGCGGTGAGTGCTGGTGACAGATGATTTATTTTGTTGTGAAGGGGGACGAGCAGAGAGACGAGGGGATGGCTGGGGAGCGGTTCAGTTTGAGGTGTGGGCGCGGTGGGCAGTGTGGGAATGGGCGGGTTGGCGTATTCAACCGCTGTGTGGGCCTGCGACCGTTTCGGCTTGATGCCATACTGTAGCCCGAGGATCGGAATGTTTATATTTCTCCTTAATCCAATCCAAGCCGTTGGTAATTTTCAGTCATTTTTCCCGTGACGGGTTCTTCGTTCTTTGCGGAGCGTTCTCCGTTTTCCGTCGGTACGAAGGAAAAAGCTCGAAAAAAAATGTGGATCGCCACCGGCTCTCGCCTTGCGAACTACTGCGCGCCCCAGTTCGCGTGCACGAGTGTAATCGCCCCTTGGACAAGCCGAAAGGGAAGTTTTTTTTCAAAGCCGAGGTGATCGATCACCGTTAATTGGTTTGGGTGATAACAGCAACGCACAGATCGCTGGTCCGCTCAACACCAAGAGGAAACGGTGGACCGCGAACGAACCCGACCTGACAGTCCCGCCCAAAAGCCACAAGGCACAGGAGTGCAATCCAGCAAATCGCAGCTCCCTGTTCAAGAGAGACAGAGTCTACTCATGCTCCTGCGGCCGCGGCACGTATCGGCACCGGTGCCGACCATCGAAGAAGATGGGAACAAGAAGAAGGCGCTGCTGCCGCTGATGGCGACGATCGCCGAAGACGGGCTCGGCGCCTTGCCGATGCCTCCGACAGAGAAAGATCGCAAAAGACGTACTTTCAGGCGATCAAATCTCAAGCTAAAGCTGCACGTCGGTGGCTTCACCCGTACGCGAAGGAGGGCAGTGCTGGCCGCTTGTGGTGGCTGGTGCTTGCTGTCAATAGGCGGCGCGTTCCTGTTCATCTGGTTCCGGGCCGTGGCCATGGCGAGGGTGGCCTCGTCGGCTACTGTCGACGGTCAAGGCGGGATGTTCACCGTCTTGGTCAACACTTTCGAGAGACCTAGGCAGATGGAAGAGGCTGTGCGACACTACGCGAAGTGCCCCAGGTGGGCTCCTACTGTTTTTGTAGATTGGAGCTGCAGCAGTCTGTAGAATGCTACCGACATCACAAACAAGCGTATAAAATGAGAAAGTGGTTGTAAACCCCGCCCACATCATACGCGCATGCAATGCACCCGGCACTGCCACGCGCCCATGGATCACGTATGCTACCTTCCTATATTTTTCCTTCTGGTCTCTTTCTTCGCCCGCCCCCCCAATATCAGTACATGCCTGATGTGCGCTTGACTATCTTTTCCCATCTACACAGCAGAGGCTTTGGCTCTCCTGTTCGCCTCGTTGTCTCAATACAATATTAAATCTAGGCGATTGCTTCAGTTCGTCCCACGTATGCACGCGCAAGTCTTGGAAAAATATTTGTTCTTTTGCTGCTGCTTTTGACCGTGCCTCTGCCCGGGGACACGTTGACCGGAAATCGTTCCGCCTCTTTCACACCAACGAATGACTCCAGCGTGGAAAGCGTCAGAGTTGCGTGGTCCGAGCCCTCCCCCCCGCCGGACGCGACCACAAGCCCGCTGCTTTTCGATCATCCGAGGCCCGTGAGGATACACGCCTACCCGACGACGAGCATCAACAACAGGTACACGCCGTCGAATAATGCTAGTCTAATGGACTACAGTACATGTAGCATTATTGAGTAAAAGATATGTCGGCGGACTCTTGGCATACCAGCATGGACAGATAGTGATATATATATGTGACGGTGATCTCCGAGGGACGGACCCCACGCCATTCTCCCACCGGTAGTTCTGTTGCATGTTTGGCTCAAAAAGTGTCCTGCTGGGATTCCAACTCCAGCGTCGGTATCACGCATACATTGCATTTTTTTGGAAGGAGTTGCGTTGGTGGTTGGTCCAAGATGCGCGTAAGCGCATCCAAGAGTGGCGTAGCATACCACTGGACACCATGCTGCGTGTCCGGGTTATAGTTGTTGCTTGATTTACCAAGGCTCTCCACCACCACCCTGGAACAGTGTGTGTGGTGACGCGTTCGTGGAGGTTTTCGTACGTAGCTATACTCCGATGCCGACTGCCCTCTCGGGACAGGCGGGAGTGTTCGTAGTCGTCTCAAGACAAAGTCTAACCTGGCCGTTTTAAGCCGCTATCCGTCGTCGAAAAAAAAAAGGCTTTAGCGAAGACAACGTAACGTACTCACCCGCGGATACCTCGCCCTTTTCTCTGCGTGCGCCCTTGTTTTTTTTTTCTTTCTATTGTTTGATAGGTTCATACCACCGCCGGACCTCATGACGGAGGCGGTCTTTGTCGTGGACGACGATATCGCTGTACCCTGCGAGCACCTCCTGTCTGCATTTAACGTGAGATCAACCGCGCGGCGCCTACGATGCACCGGATGGTAATTAACACTACCGGACTATTCAGCAATAGCGGCACGATTCAGCCCGTAGGTTGCCTTCCTCTCTGCTGTCCCAGGCGCGAAGCGTACGGCCGGCGTCTTCAGGTACACACCATTGTCGAACCAACGATATTCTTGTTCTTTTTTCAGGACCAAACGTAGAAATTGCGCACATAAAAAGCGCTTCATCTCGTATTTGACCACAACCATCCGTCATCCGGGTTCTCCCCTTGCTGGAATCAGAGGCTCTTGAGCTGTTGCAGGGCAAACAACGAAGTAATTGATTGTTCCCCCTGATGTTGGGAATAGCTACGGCTTGTTCGACCGCTGCTCAACACCATGAAACCGAACTCGCTCGAGCAGACCTGGCAACAGCACCCGGACACCTTGGTGGGCTTCTTCCCACGCTCGCACTCTTACCAGCCGCCAACAGCGGCAGAGGTAAAGGCGGACGAGGGCGAGGGCAACGGCAACTGGGAATACCTCTACTTTTGGAGGTATGGCGTGTTTGTTTGCTATTTTGATGCATGGGCCTGCCTCTCGCATGTTATTTATGTACGTCCTGCCAGGAGCACGTCTTGTAAGTCGGCGTGAAACGGTAGATTTTCGGCTCGACTGAACGGGGTGCTGGGTCGTCATGCAGCGGGTGCATGGTGAGGCTGACGTGAAAGCGTGCCCTTCAACTTGGCGAAGGGTGCGCGCGTATGTTAACCTGATATCTGATGGATGTAAAAAGAAACTGGCATGTCCTGTGGGAGAACAAGTTTTTGAACGCTGGTGGTGGTGGTTTTTTGGTTGTGTCTTGAGTGCCTCATTTGGCTCTCTATTCGTAAATGTAACCGTCAGCCGTCGCCTCTTGCAAATACGCGTCGGGGGTTGCTCTTTTCTCGAGGAGCTTTCCGTACGCAGGATGTGCACCCGGCCGTACGTTCACACAGCCCACGTCCATTCGTCTTCACTCCTCCCGTCCCTGGAAAACATGAAGGGTGCTTTGGAGCATGGAGTACAGCATCGTCCTGACCAAGGCCGCCTTCGTGCACGCCAAGTACCTCGAGCTCTACAGCAGCAGCGGCGGTGAAGGCGATGGTGTCGACGGTTTCGGTGGTGGTGGCATCACCGCAACACAAGAACTACGCCGTGATGATAGCGCCAGCTCCGCGTGGAGCGAGGTTATCGTCCAGGCCATGGTCAGGGCTCGGGCCTACGTGGACTCCCACCGCAACTGCGAGGACATCGCCATGCAGATGGTGCGTGTTCTTCACGCAGTACACACACAACGTGCTGAATCCTTTCGTGTTTGTAGGTTGAAATAGCTGATACAACGCCCTCAGGTGTTTTTCTCACGATGAGTGCTTTTATATGCAGTACGGAGTGCTCCCTCTCTTTGTAGAGTGTCTTCTGGTAATGACGTCCCTTCTTTCACTGTCGTCGAGTCCCGATCTGGCTTCTCCCAGTTTTGCCAGTTTTCCCGCTAAAACTCACATCTCGCTCGAATCCGTGACAAACAATATAATTGCCTCTCACACCCTTCCTACGTCCTGGAGGCCGAGATGTACACCCCAGACACTAATACCCTCCGGAGAATAGGGGAACAGGTAACCGCGGAAATACAACCACTTAGCAGCTAGTACCGCTGCGCATCACCGCCTCATGCTCGAGGCACAATACCATCCTGTTCATATCATTCCTCACTCGCCCTTCCTACCGCTATCTACGATGCACACGCGGCACATGCACCTAGCCGCCTAACTAACCTACTTTTGCACCTTGACCTGCCTTGCTTCTTTCTTTCGTCTGGTGGTCATGACCTGCGCCACCACACGCCGCGTTGTCGTGCCAATCAACACCTACTACCTGCTACAAAAAAAGGCGGTGACCTCTGTGTCGGGGCTGCCTCCCGTTGCCGTCTTCGCCCCCGTGGTCGACATCGGCCTCTTCGGAGGCATCAGCACCGGAGAGGGCAGCGGGAAGTGGTGGCAAGCCCCGCACGCCAAGAAGCGCTCGAGGCGAGTACAACGTTGTACCGCTGTAATGTCATGCTCCGCGCGTCTGTGCTTGGAATCGGTTTGACCCCTCCTCGTTTTAGATTGGGCGTCTCAGGTTCGTGCAGAGCGAAAATGAACGCCCGTGTTTTTTGTTGCTTTTCCTGCGCAAGCCATACTCGACATATCCACATTGTCCCTCCCTGCAGCAAGAGATGTGATTGCGTGTGTGTTCGTCTCATCTATTCTAGCGCCCGTCTACGCAACGTTCGGTGTGTAAATTATGGCGTTATAGCCGGGGTCACACAGGAAGCACGGGAAAACGCGCCACTGACTGCTTGTTCGGTATGCCACAGTTCGAACTGCTGCTCTGCAGCACGCACCCGCTCATATGTCCCCTTCAACAGCGTGCCTGTTGTGAGAACCTCTCACGTGCGCTCACATTTACCGACCTAAACAACACATTTGGGTGCCCTCTTTTGCGCGTTTCCGTGCGTGTGTGTTTCTTACGTGAAATCGACGACGCTAACCGGCTGCCCAATGAAAAAAACTTGTGTGTTTCTACGCATATGTAGATCATCGACCGCGTCAATGCTCATCATGTGTTTGTGTGGTGGTACACGAAAATGCAGGTGCCTCGCCGATCTCCGCGAAATTTTCTGCGACGTCGCCGACGAATCACTCCTGCCGCCACCGCCTTCTCCAGACGACGAGGAGGAGGGAGCGACAGACAGACGACCACGCACACATCGTTGCGAACCATTGATTCGAACCGATCTCTTCGCCTCGACACCTCGTGCCACCGCCACGGCTTCCATCAGAGGGGGGGTCCGTGGCAGGGGGGGTGATGGTGATGGTAATAATGGTAGAAGCGATTTGTCGCGGCTGTCGCGTTGGGGCCTGGCCGTGCGGGCTCCGACTCCGGCGGAGTTTGTCAGCGCGGACATGCTCCTTGTCCCCGCCAAAATCTGGAAGTGGTTCGCAAAGGATGACATCCGGGGCCGTCGATGATGATGCCCCGTGTGGTGTCTTTGGACGACGTGTTGTGGTGGTTCGGGGTGGTATGCACGATGCACGAATAAATTGTCTTGATAGAAGGAAACTTTCTGAAAATCTACTCCATGTCCTCCTGTAGTTTGTTAAGGGACCGGTCTGAGATGGTCGGAGGAGATTAATTCACCGTAGCTGAAGAAGCGAAATCGGGGTGCATGGTGTAGTGAGTGGGACAATAGAAGGTGGTCGTTCGGCAACGGGATCTGAATTATGTTTAGGATGCTATCAAGTCAAGTCAGGACCGTGGACAGGCAGTGCAATTTAAACAGTCCAGGGGAGTAGTTTTCGGACAACTTTGGGGTTTCAGTAGTTCCTGGACACAAAAAATTGGGCTGATTTTTCGTAACTTTGCAACACAGCGATGTAACCATAAGCGAAAGTGAATGCACGTGATGACTCTCGGGAGTTTTAGGAGCGCGTGTCGTTGAGATCGCGGCCGTGTGCGTGTTGGTGTAAGTAAATGTAGAGTCAAACCGATGGCTGTTTTTTCACTCTACATCCGTTTTCGTACGACAGGTAATGTGTTCGTCTTGTAGACTATTATCGATGTATTGTCTTGGTTCTTGTTTGTTTTGCCGCAACTATCATCCATTCAAACGTGCACCGGAAAATACAGAAACTCTGGGGCGCGCGGCATGCATTGTTGCATGTATCGCTTCGCACGTCGTGTGCCCTAGTTTTTGTACAGCATTTGGAGGCGGAAGTTGTCTGTGTCCGGCGATGCCGAAAAGCAACCGCGAAGAATAGTTCAGTGTCGACTGTCCGCGAGCGCGTATTTGAAGGCCTTAGGCTGCGGAGCTTGTTGGACATTCCGAGGTGGAGGAGAGCGGTTGAAAAAAAGACGGGATTGGGTCGTCGGTGCGTGTTGTAGTAGCCTTCACTAGGGAATCATGGCGTACTACTTGTACCGTAAATGAGTAACAAATGAGAGAGAAAATATATGTTTCTTTTGTATCTTGGGGTTTTACGGTACAAAACAAGTAGAGGGGGGCATATGTTCAGCAGTTAACCCACGTATGCAGAGCGTCCATCATCCTTTCATAACAAAACAAGACGCCCGGCCTATACAATTCCCTTCAACCACGGTCTGCATAAGATCATCGCGGGAATACCGTACACAACAACACCACCGGAAACTCGTCGTTTTTGTCAGAATCATGCCACTCGTGGCATCGAGCACACATGAAACTCCACCAATAGCATGAGAAGCACCATCAGCGGACCCCTCCGTGTCGATTGCCAGCAAAGCGAAGCACGCTACTACTGACGGCGTACACAGAACCCTCTTATCACTGCAAAGGTCCTTAATGCGCGCGTGAGGCTCCCGGCGTTGTTTTGCCTACCTCAAACCGAGCACGCTTGTTCTTATTTCGCCAGGTTCTTGTTTCGGCCAGAGGATTACCGCTCGGTGAAATGGCCGGGGGATTATCTATATTTCGTACGTCTGTCTGCAACAACAATGATTGCCTCAAACAGGACAAGTATAGTTTGCCGAGTGATTTTTGCAGGTGACTCAAGCGTGTATATGTGCCTCATACTAGAACAGAAAAGAGCATACAACATTGTTCATTTGCTTCACAGCATCTGCCGTCGAAGCAGCAGCGGTAGATCCGCGTGCCCGGAGACTGTAGAAGCGACCGGACCTCTTCGATTTAACGTCGCAAACACTAGCTTTACTGCAATCATTGGTCAATTTTGTGTTTACAGATTCCTTTGCAGAACCTAGTCTTTTGTCGGGACTTCGGAACCGAACACCTGCGCCTACTATAGTAGGAGCCCAATCGAGCTGATACGAAATGACGTGAGGTTCAATCGCTAGTCTCCCATTCTCTCCAGTGGAGGATTGCTCTGGACGAGAACCCCGGGAACCGTCGCATGAACGCCTACCAACTATTAGCCAAACCTCTCCTTTCCACTAGTGTCGGGGCAACACCGACAGCCAAGACAAGAAGACATTCGCATCGATACCCGACGACTGGACTTGCAACCCGCCCTTCCATTTTGTTTGTTTCCGTCTGTAAGCAAGCTGTGATCAAAGTTGTACTGGGCTCAATAATGAGAGCAATCACGTCATACAAATCTGCAGCCGAGCAAAACCAAACAACTATTGAGGGGTATACGGCGGCGCCAGCTCTCCCGGCCGTTTTTCTAGCCAAATAATTACACTCCGTTCAACACAGTCAAATGCGATTAGCTCTACGTACGGTATTGTTCCATCCACCTCACCCCAGCTCCCCCTAGTTCGTGCCATTCCTTCCATAGGAAACAGTGTAAGCATTGAACGGACAGTCACACGGTCATCCTAGCTGCCACTAATGCGAAACCCCCACTTCAGCGCCCTAGAAATCTTTCGTCTTTCTAGCAACCCCGGTCATATTAAAACACCCACAACTTTCCCGATATAATATTGCTGTTCCGAGGCCCTCCTGCTCACCAAACAGAGCAACTTTTACCAACATATCGAGCCAACCGAATCACAAGAACCAGCCCACAACACCACCACAGCCCCCGCCCTCCCTCTCAATCATCACTCGACCGCGCAGCCCTGGATCTCCCCTTGCCCCCACTCCTCGAACCTCATCCCAAGGGCCCACTCGTAAAACCTCCGGTAGACCTTGCCCAGGGTCTTCGGGTGAAGCAGCCCCGTGTAGTGGCCGAATGTGCTCGTCCTCGTCAGCCCGGCCATGACAAACGCGTCCTTCATGAACGAGAGGTGCCGCCGGCCCATCATAATCGCCTCGCATCCCGACCCCTCCCCGAGCGCCGCGTCCAGCGCTTCTTGGTCCGTGGACGTGCCCCCGTTTCCCGCGCCGTCGCCCTCGAAAGCGTCGTGCCAAAGCTTCAGGCACCGCTCGGAGTGCCCACGTGCCAGGGCCACCACCCCCGAGTGCGCCCGGTCGCAGCCCCGGCAAACGGGGACCGTGTGCCCGCCCGCGTCCGCAAAGATAATCACTTTTGACGGCGGCGGCGGCGGTGGCGGCGGCGGCGGCGGCGACCGTCGGTTGGTGTCACCGTCGCCGCTCATCGGCTGAGGAGGAGGAGCAAATACCACGTCTCCATCATCAAGCCTTCCTCGCAAGCGTGGGCTGACTACCCCGTTTTTCGGTGGCGGCCTGGTTGTCGCTGGCCCTCCCACCGCAGCTGTTGCCGCTGCCGCTGCCGCTGCCGCTTTTCTGTCCAGCTCGTCCCACTCGCGGGCGACGGCGTCGAGGAAAGGCCCGAGAGGACGCTGGGTGATGACGTCGCAGTCCACGTACACCACGCGCTCCACCGAGGGCGGAAGTAGGTCCAGGAGCTTCATCTTCGCCATCTTGGCGTTCTGCACCACCCCGCTGGTGTCCCCGCCACCGGAATGAAGACTACCGCCGGTCGAGGGCGGCGGCGGCGGTGGTGCGACAGCGATGGCCGTGACGGACTGGCGAAGGTACGACGAGAGGCAGGCCAGGTCATCCTCGCGCTCAACGATCACGTGCACCTGGCCGTCCCAGCCTCCCTCGTCTCTAAGCGATGTCAGGGCGTACAGTAGCGAGGCCGACCGCGCCGCGGGACCCAGGGCAACGAAGACGATCGAGTCGGCCCCCGAAGCCGATCGGAGCCTGGGTTGTTGTCGTGTCCGCTGATTGCCGGAGATGGTGGTGCTGGGTTTGGTGGAGGGGCCGACCGGGTGGAGCGGAGGCCGCAAGAAAAGGACGGTGCTGACGACGGCGTACGTTAGCAGGAGGGCCAGGGTGACGGACCAGCACCTCCGTCTCGCTCGTCGCATCTGATGAATTCTCGAAGTTGTGAGGATGTGGTGGGAGATATTTGTGGGGGCTGCGTCGTCCGTTGTTGTTGTTGTTGTCGTTGCGGCCCTGGCGGCGGGGGGAGGCGGGGGATTCAGCCCTCTATCTGTTAAGCAGGCGGGCGGGATGGATACACGCGGCAGATAGGTTTGTTTGCAGACGCAGCAAGCACCTTCAAGTGGACTCCAGTCACCAAAACATGGAAGGAGGTCGGTTGATCGGTGTATCTCACAGCAGCTACATCAGTACCTACAATTATAGTTGCTCCACGAAGGGGCACTACGACGATACAACAGTTGTGTCGTCTGGTGGAGAACGCGTCCGTATCGCCATATCTTCTCCGCCTCACGTAGATGCGGACGCAATAAGTTGTTCTCGGATAGAGCATCTGCCCGATGGCCGGTTTGGATTTATTATTCTGTTGTCTCAAAGGGAACGAAAACAAAATGTATTCAGCAGCTACATGTACGTAAACTAGATTGACACTTGATGCGATGTGCGCTGGGGTGGTTACACCCATCCGATGAATATCACCGAGATTTACCGGCTCGAGCTCAGCGGCACACCATGACAAAGAGAAAAGCTTCTTCTGTGTCCAAGGCATGTGACTCTCGCCTATCATACAACACAGACCAGGTGATACTTCTGCTGCTGATGTACACACACCCGATACGTCGCAGGGTGACCAAATCAGGCCTTTCCCACCAAGCTGCTGCACTCACATGCGTATTGAGCACCTCACGAAGGAGGAGCAACCAGATACTCCGGAGACGACAGACAAACAGAGAGGCAGCAGACAGAGGGACAACAGACAGACGGAGACCAGGTTTTTTTTTCATTTGAAAACGGTCAGATATCCTGGAAAACTCCTAGACCACGCTTCGGGAACGAGCAGAATGTACGGACCGCTCCAAATAGTTGACAGCGCCGCGGCGATCCGTCGGTATTGCTGAGTGTAGGAATTTTAAGGAAATTTCCTGGGACTCAAAATGTGCGGGGATGAGGCAATTCTGGCCCTCAGCACACAGGGAAGGAGTGGCTTGTGGGGGACGTTTAGGAAATACGTCCGCGCTGCTGCTGCTACTTCTAGTGCTGCTACTGCTGCTGCTGCTATGTTTGGGCTACCTGAAGTCTACTGCAAAAAATGTAGACTGCAGAGCTGGCTGTCAGCAGCCGTTTCTTCTACTTCGTATACCACACATGACACAAGATAACACACCCCCTGGACCGATTTTCAAAGCTAAATAGATTACTCCACGACGCAGAGGATGTATTGACGAAAGGGTACGTGTTCAAAGAGCTCTAAACCAGATGGCTTCAACGCCGCCGTTTCGGCCCCGCGACTGTTGCTGCTGGTCAAAAACCGGGCTTTGAAAATCGGTCCAGGGTGTGTGTTATGTTGTATGTCGTATACGACACCGTGGTATACTCATGCTGTAGACTACGTGTAGTCTAGTGTATGACAGCTTATACGAAAAATTGCTTGATGTGGTACGACGACATTTGCCAATATTTGCAGCAGTCAAGCTGACTATCAACGCTGCGGCAGCTTCCGGTGGTTGAAGCCAGCGACGGGCTCTCTCTTGTCTCGATTATATTATTGGGATTGAGAGAAGAAACGACTTCCCTACAGATAGGTTGTAACGGTGCCTCAACCTACTCACAACCTCCGGCTACCAGTGTACTGATGCACGAAAGACCAGGAAAGTAGTAACGGCGGTGTCACCTGGAGGCAATCACTTCAAACCCTCTTTTTTCTTTTTTCTGTTGGGTCAAACTGGACCAAAGGTCAGCTGTGGACTGACATGGACTTTGAGGGGGTGTAGAGTTTTCCTTCCGAAACAGCGGCCCGACAGGATAGTAAGGGGTCGATCGACGATCGGCGTGGCGTAATGTTGGCTCGTTATGTACGTACGAAAGTTCCGAGATACTTGTTTTTCAGACAGGAAGTATGTGTCTCTTCGTCGAACAACCGACCGATAGACCGGCATTCCGCTGCCTTTTGCGCGGGCTTTCTCCGCCCCCCTCCTCTCCCCCCCCCGCAATCGTTATCGACCGCAAAGCCATGACGACACTTGTTCTGACTATAACACGACCGGCATGCAAAGAACGACTATCGTGCGCACCCTCGCTGCCGCGACGCGTGCGGAGAATTTGCAGAACTTTACTGCTTGCCGTGAAAAAACAACTTAGTATAAAACAACGAATACTGTATCCTTTCTATTCTCTCCCTCCCGGCCGGTCAAATCTCCTCGTCCCGCCGTCCGTTTCTCGAGAACGCAAGTGAATCCTCCGGCCCGTGTCAGGGCAGCACAAAAGCGTCAGGGCCCGCAGCTCTCATACCTACACATTGGACACAGGGCGGAGAGCACGGTCCGACGGTCAGAGTCGACTTTTCTAGGTTTCTCTTGGGACTGTCCGACGAGGAGGGAAAAAATGGCAACGGAGTGTAAATGTACAACCCGTGGTTGCAGCACATGTTTGGTGGATCGATTGGAGTTTTTCTCGCTAAAATTTACGGTGTGGAGGAGGGAAGTCCATCTAGGGTGCTGCAGGACGAAGCGGGTTCGGAGAGAAATGAAAACGTTTGAACCTCGGATCGAAGAAGCACTACTACTACTTCAGTTAAGAACGGCGGGGAGAGCGTAGGGTAGGTGGAATCTGAAACTAACTGCGAGCGACAGCAGCAGAAGGGATTGTTGGCAAATAAAGTGCAGTGTGCGTGCGCACGGGTGGGGGATTCTGACCCAGTACAAGCAAGAAACAGCTTGGTGCTGCTTGTGGGGTTCAACTTTCCTCCTCCTTGTGCAAAACACCGCACTCACGTTGGAATCATGTACTTGATGTTGATGAAGGCGTCGGGTCCTCCAAACTGCTCCATCACCTGCGGGCAGGCCCATCAACACAGAAGAAAAAGAGGACGACTTACGCGGGGTATATCACACATTTTTTTGCTCCACACCTCACATTTTGGGTAAGAGTGCGATACGATACAGCACAGTGCAGTGGTGCAGATAGTGGTGAAGGTGCTCGAAGCAACAATGTCACCTTGTCGTGTTAACCATCACCTCGAGGGTCTCCATGATGAGTTCCCCAACGTTGATCCTGGAACGCTGGTTGTAATCGATGGCGTCTCCTATGTTGCTGTTCATCCCACGGAACAGGTTGAACATCGGAAGGAGCTACAACGCAGACAAAAACGGAAACGAAAGAAAAACCGGCAAAGGTTGGTGGTACGCTCGGTACATGATTCAGTTCGTGAAAAGTTTGTCAGTTGTTCGCCGACTATCCCCAGGAAGACGCTTCGGAGGAATAGCGGGGCGGTTTGGGCTAGAAGAGTTTCGAAATCGTATTTCCTCATTCTTCTTGCCATTGTTGCTGACTTCACTCATTTCCGGGCCCGAAACAAACCCCGTTTTGCCCCCTCGTTCACGCGCTTACCTCCCCCCCCCCCCCC